TCTTCCTCTGGTAGAGGTCCTGTTGATTCCATCCACCCCCACCCCCACCCCCACCCCCACATCACATCATCATCATCATCTCTGCGAGCCTGCACACGAATGCCCTTCTTTCTGCCTCTCTTGCACAAGCTCCCTCTACCTAGACACACCACTTGAGCTTCCCCAGCATCACTTTCTAAAGAGTCTGAATATAGTCCCAAAGCCCCACCCCTAAATAAGGTAAGATGTCTTCGTGCCTGTTTCCATGACAGCTCATGTTTTATTAACATCTTTATTGTTCTATAACAGATGTAGAGGAAAGTGTATGGTGCTACATTCCTGTAATTCCAGAAGTTGGGAGGCCTAGGCTACATAGTGAGTTCCGGACCAGCCTGAGATGAAGATTGGGACCCTGTCTCAAACAAACAAACAAACAAACAAACGTGCATGTGATGCCAGGGTTAGATAGATGGTACAGTGGTTAAGAACACTGGCTGTTCTTCCAGAGGACCCAGGTTCAACTCTCAGCATCCACGCGATGGTTCATAACCGTCTCTAATTCCAGCTCCAGGGGATCTGACACCTTCCTCTGGCCTCCAGAGGCACCATGCACATGGTCCATGGACGTATACGCAGGTTCAAAATTCTGTCCACATAAAATAATAAAAAAGCGGATTGCTATAACTACACAGCCTGACCTTAATGAAATATCAAAAAGCAAAACCACCCATCAGATTAAGAAATTAGTGTTATCCAAAAACTGCCCTCAGCAGGCATCCTCTCAGTCATTATATATCTTCTTCTAAATCAATTCACCTTATTTTTCTGCTTTTACAGTTTATATAAACCAAATCACAAAGGTTCATTTTTGTTTCTGAGATTTCTTTCCTAAAGTGAGCAGCAATTCTTCTTTGTTGTATAGTATTCCATTATATGACAGCACATTAATAATTTAGTCATCTCATTATTAGTGGACATTTTGAAGTGTTCTATCTTGGAGCCAATATATTTACCATTGCTATGAGTATTATTGAGAATTTTTAAAGATTTATTTATTTATTTTATGTATATGAGTGTTCTATCTGTATGCATGCATGCACACCAGAAGAGGTCATCCAACCCCACTGTAGATGGTTGGGAGCCACCATATGGTGGCTGGAAATTGAACTCAGGACCTCTGGAAGAGCAGCCAGTGCTCTTAACCTCCGAGCAGAGAATTTTTTATTGAACATATGCTCTCTCTTTGCAGTGTTTGTGATGCAGTGAAACCAGCGGGTCACCAGTGACATATGTATTCATCTTGTTCATACTGCTGAAGGGGTTTCCAAGACGATAGCCTAATTTATCCTCACGATGCGTGTGTTTTTATAGCAGGTTTTCACCAACCACCAATAATAGCTATAATTGCAAAACTTCTCCATTCTCTCTTCTGTCCCTCTTCTTGGCTAGTATAATACGAAATGGCGCCATTGCTGGGTTAATTATTTTGGTGAACTTCTTGTGCAAATAGCCAACAAGCATGCATCTCTTCGTTTTATCTTTCAGGCAGCATGGACAGACTTTGTAGACAAACTGCCATGCTTTCACTTCTAACCCAGCACTGGCCCGCTAGCAGGCTACCATCTTAAACAGTTTCCTGACTTCGATGTCACCGTGTTATTATGATGGATGAGCAAATCAAGCACACAGCTGGAAGAGTCTGAGCTCACTGGGACCAACATATGGCTAGTACTGCCTTACTCCCCAACCGCACACCCCAAGAAAGTTTCCAGAACTAGTGTTGGTTAGTAAGACTCTTAGGGAGCCTTGTTGTCCCAGAGCCCACAAGCAGCCTCCGGACTTCCACAGTTCCCTTGACCCCACCCACATTCGCCGCCCACTACATACACTCATGGGTGTCACGTCTCCCCAAGGAGATGGCACATCCTTCAAGGAGAATGACTTACTGTTCTTCGTGGTAGCAGAAGATTAACTCACATTGAAGCTTAGGGGATCAGCTGAATAAGTTGCCCCAAATCCATAGCTGAGCAGACATATAGCTAGGGGGCTGTTGAAGAAGTGAACTGTCTCCTTTCTTCCCTTCCTTCCTTCCTTCCTTCCTTCCTTCCTTCCTTCCTTCCTTCCTCCCTTCTTTCCTCCTTCCTTCCTTCCTCCCTCCCTGCTCCTTCTCTCCCTCCCTCCCTCCCTCCCTCCCTCCTTCCTTCCTTCCTTCCTTCCTTACTTCCTTCCTTCCTTCCTCCCTCCCTGCTCCTTCTCTTCCTCCCTTTCTTCCTTCCTCCCTTCTTTCCTTACTGGACTCCATTCTCCTGCCCCCCAAGTGCTAGGGTGAAGAGCATGCTCGGCCACACCCCGAACTAGTTGTCCCCTCTTCTACTTCAGAGGCTAAGCCTCTGGGGACATGCTGGCAGGGACATGCTCCACTCCCTTAGATAAGGGATGCCTTGGCACATGTGTTATTTGGCATCAGGATACTCAGCAAATATTTGCCATTTGTCTGTTGATCTCTTGTTCTTTCTTGACTTCCCTGTCCCTGACTTGTTCCCTTCCTGCACAGTTGTGCGGATCCAAACCCTCATTTGTTTGATAGTGCTTGGGACTCCTCTGGCACATTTTGATTCTGGATCAATTCATGTCTGATCCTATGCAGTGACTGACTGTACCCCAATAAGTCAGATTTCCAACTAAAGAAAAAGAAAAAAACAAAACAAAAAAAACCAACCAACCAGCCAAACAAACCAAAACCTTCAATTCAAGCATGAGGGCACATGCCTATAATCCTAGCACTTGAGTGGAGGCAGAAGGGTCAAGAGTTCAAGGTCATCCTCAGCTGTGTGGTATATTTGAGGCCAGCTTGTCCTATGTGAAATCCTATCTTTCAAAAAGCAAAGGTAGTGGAGCAGGACTTTACTCCCAGCACTCAGAGACATATATGGATCTCTGTGAGTTTGAGGCCACCTTGGTCTATGCAGCAAGTTCAAGAACATCCAGGGCTACACACTGAGACCTTATCTCCCAAATAAAAAATAAAAAGCAAATGCCAAAAACAAAATAAAAAAACCAACAAAAGACACTTCCTAATTTATAACTGGGAAACCAATAATGAGGTTGGCCTTGGCCTGGGAGGACAGTGTAATTATTTTTATTCTAGGAATAGTTCATAACTGTTGTCGTCAATGAGAATGAAGGGGAACGAGCCAGCCCATCAAACCTGCCCATCAAAGCTGGCAACACAGTTTTCCTAGAAAATAGTCTAGATCCTTGTGGTTTGGGTTTGGTACGGAACTGAAGCTGCAGCTAATGCCCTCATGTCTCAACTGCATAATGTGATCTGTAGCCACTGTGAACTCGAACTCACCTTCTTACTTCAGTCCCACCTTCAGGGCACTCCACAGAACAGGGTAAGAGAAGCCAAACCCCTGGCTGACTCTAGAAGCCATGGAGGTGGGGGAGCAGGCAGGGGCTAAGTGGAGGTCTTCAGAGTCAGCAGAGGTGAAAGGTCACAGCTTCCCCTTGGGGGAACCGGATGCATACTGGGAGGACAAGGAGAGAGAGGATGGAGTTTAACGGAAGGGTGCAGGTGGCAGCAGCATCCACTGGGGGTCCCTGATTTGCTAGGGATTTGTGTGAAATTTGCTTGGAAAAGTCCAGCGGGCTTGAGAGAATTCCCAGTGAGGCAGGGAATCTTGGAGGAGGACTCTGCAGGCCAGACCCCCAGCCTGAGGGCCCCTGAGATGCTAGTTCACACTGATTTAATTAGAACACCTTCCTTTCTCCTGAGCCTGCTCTGGGTACTCCTGAGAAAGCTTGTTGGGAACACGGACATGTATGACACGAAGGCACACCCTCTTTGGTGTCACTCTACACTCTCAGGATCACCCTGATTACCTTCTCAAGCGAAACTGCTTGCAAAGCCGTCAGGCGGGGAGGGCAATGACCTGTCTTGCTCACTAACATGTCCCGCTAGCGCTCAGGCCGGAGCCCAGCCCTGAGTAGACTCCTATTTGTTAAAAGAATGACCTGTCACTTAAGATAAGCCGATGTCAGGACAAGCCGTTCATGGGACAGTCAATAAGCAGAGGGGACATTATTTTATGGCTTTATGAGATGGGCAGATTAAAAAGGATGTTTGCCGGATTAATGACTAGCAGTACAAAAGACTTCTGAAAAGAAAACGGAACACAGGTGTTTCGTGTTGGAAAGCCAACCAAGGCTTCACATGCTAGGAAAAGCCTTCCATGGTAAAGTTACAATAACAGCCTCAATAAACTACATCCGAGCCTCGATGGGCCCCGAAGATCCCATCCTCCTTGACTAAGAAGCTTTTGCTCTTGGAAGCAAACTGTCTTGCTCTTTTGTTCAGGCTGTCAAATGCTAGGGATTGAAGTGTATGTTACTACATCCATCTAACTGGTAAGTTTTGAATCCCCGGTTACTGGATATCCACCAACGATGTAATAAGCCAATCAAACCAAATTGATAAATTCAGGTTTAATGAATAGAGCAAAAACTAACTCCTGCCGGGCGGTGGTGGCGCACGCCTTTAATCCCAGCACTTGGGAGGCAGAGCCAGGCGGATCTTGTGAGTTCGAGGCCAGCCTGGGCTACCAAGTGAGTTCCAGGAAAGGCGCAAAGCTACACAGAGAAACCCTCTCTCGAAAAACCAAAAAAAAAAAAAAAAAAAAAACTCCTAGGTGACCCTCAGGAGGGCAGGAGAGGAGTCATGTGTCTAATATGGCTACCAGGTCTTAAGTAGCCTACAGGTGTAGTCTTAAGCAGCTCCCGGAAGAGGAGCTGACCCTTGGTAGGCTGAGGGAAGGGGCTGCTGCTTGGCGGGCTTTCTGAGGGGGCCGGGTCTGCAATGGGAGGAGTGAGACCTGAGCATGGAATGGGGCCCCGAGCTGGAGATCCCCAACGCTTACCAAAGTATTTTCAAATTGATCCATTATTTGCCATATATCCCCATCTGCCAACCCCAGTTTATCAAAATCTAAGAAAGCAACACATGACACAATTTATGCAAATATTTTTCAAGATTTTATTGCAAACCAAAATTGGTTTATTGCACACAAAAAAAGTTGTGTGGTAGGGAGGAGGAATTGTACATATTATAACCATGTTAATTACAGTACATTAAAATGATGGTTTACAAATAAGTCTGTAAGTTTAAATATACTAGTGTTATAACCCAATGTACAGACTTTCTTTACAAGATACATACAATAATCAGGAATGCAAAAAAAAAAAAAACCATAAATAATGCCCATCCTACAGGTGACATTTTAAACAATGAAAACACCAACGGCTTTGACTGACAACTGGGGCATTGGTCCATAAAAACCCTTTCTAAAAATAGAAATATTTGTAGCAGCAATGCTTCCGTTAAGCATCTGGATGCACGTCATTGCAAGACCGTTTCAATAGATTTTAGTTATTAACTATATCTTACAAAAAAAAAACAGTCTACACATAAATTTATCTTCCAAATATGGAAGAAACAAACAATGTCCCACATTGTAGTGTCCTGCAAGTGTCACATTGATGCTTACGACAAAACCGTCTGCGGCCAGGCATGGCACACTCACACACCACTGTTCACGCGGGAAATACACAAGATCAGAAACAAACAAACAAAACCAAAAAACTGAACACTCTGCGATAGGAAAAGCTTTGGAGCTAACAAGATCTCAGAAAAGGCACATTGCAGAATATTCGTGGTCACAGCTCAGACAGACCTGCGGGAGATCCCTCTCAGACCTGCATCTTCCTTCTGACGAGACCAAGGTGTCTGTCTAACTAAGTCGGCGCTCCGACGCTCGCGGGGGAGCTAGCACCACGGTGGAAGGAAGAGTAAAAATGAAAACCTCACGAGCTCACTAAGAGGAGGAGGAGGAGGAGAAGGATGTGCTCTTCGAAAAGCTTCCCTCGAGCAGTGTGCGGCTGCGGCGGCGGGACTGCCTAGCCTCCGGGTGTGCAAATTCTCTTTTAAGATGTCAGCTGGCGACTCCAAAGGCTAACTGAAACACTTAGAAAACACGCAGGGGATCCTTCAGAACCATCCCAAGAGTGTTCAGAGGAAAGAGTCCATGGGAGGGGCGTAGGAGAAGCCCAGGAAGGCTTCGGCGGCTTCCTTGACGCTGGCCGTGATGAGAATGCTGTCTGGGGACCTGCCGATGGAGTTGGGAACTGGCTCCTCAGTAAACTCGGGGTCAAAGTGCCGAAGGTCACTGGGTCCGCTCTGTTACAGGAAAGGGAGACACACTCAGTGTCAAAAAGAAGACGCAGGGCAAAGGATGGGGAATCCTAAGCCCTACAATCCTCCGCTAGAAGCTTAAAACCCTAAAGGCTCCAAAGTTCAGGAGGTATCATTGGCGACAAGGTCTCACTATGCAGCCTAGGCCAGCCTCAAACTGAACCCTGCTTCAGTTTTCTGAGATACAGGCATTACAGGTATGTGTTACGAGGCCGGGCAATGTCTTTAATTAATACATGTATTCATGTTTAGTGAGCTTTGCTTGGGATTAAACAAAACAAAAAACCTTTTCCCCTGGGGACAATGAGTCAGTCTACAGACAGTATCTACTCTTTAAGTTGTGACCTAAAAGAAACCTTCTGGATCTCTCACTATTCTTAGACCAGAAAAACACAAAGATACTCACCACATTTGGGTTAAACGGGGGTGTAATCTTCTTATTAATGAGATCGTCCCAGTTAATTAGGGAGAAGAAAATATGATTCTTAATCTCCATCTGTTGGACAGAAACAAGAGATTCGTTTAGATGGCAGAACTCAATAAAGGGCATGAGGCTGTCAGGTCCGTCCACGTTCGTCCCCAAGGTCCCCTGGCGGCGGGACAGAGGTACTTACAAAGTCTTCCTTGGCACCCAGCCTCTTTGTCCGGTCCTTCTGCAGGAGGCCCTCCAGGAGGTGCCTTGCTGAATTTGTAATGTTTGGTTTCAACTGGAGGGGCTTGTTCAGAATGTTGTCGTACATCTCAGCTGTGTTCCGGCTATAAAACGGAGGCTGGAAAAGGAAGAGAATCCCTTCAGGTTCAACTCAAGTTTCGCCTAGCGAGAAAGCGCTGAACTTAGTATGCTAAGCTGGACTTGGGATACAGTCCCTACCCTGGCTGTTGAAACGTCCATAATTTTGAAATGTCCATTTTACAACCCACACTGAATCGTGTGTGGTCGTGTGTTTGCTGGGGCATGGGGCTGCTACTGCTCAGGTTGGGTGTGGTCCTCTGTAGTATATTGTGGAATAAAACCACTAGTGGGTTGGGGATGCTGCTCAGGACCTGCCCTAAGATTCCCATAATACTACTGAAAAAAAAAAATCCAGAAGACATTGTTTATAAAATGTACTTGAAAAATAACCAGTGTCTCCTTTATTAGCTTTTGATAAGGTTACTGATAGGGACAGGTCGTGGTCACTAAACCTGCACTCAAGTAGATCCACAAATGTTTTTACAGTTGTCATGGGGATGATGCAGGGGTGTGTTACTCACCAGGCCATAGAGCATCTCGTACAAGACCGCCCCGAGGCACCACCAATCCACTGTCCTGTCATACGGCTGCTTATGGAGCACCTCAGGAGCAAGATACTGAAAGGAAACACAGGACGAGAGGTAAGAGAGCCCTCGAAACCAGCAGTCCTGACGGCAAGCATATTCTGGGGTATTTTTTTGGATTGCTTCCTAGTTCAGACCTCTATCCTCTTTGAGGCTAACTGGCCCCCTGTGTGTAGACCGATGTATTTAGAAAGCAACTTAGCAACTAGTGGTCCTATGAGGATCTCTTATGACATGGATCTTACCAACAGCTAGTTAAGGCCTTGGAGATCCTCAGGGTGAATCAAACAATGCATGTATTTTACTTGTACTGAATTGCACTAAGGAATTGCTAAGAGGTTTTTTTGTTTTTTTTGTTTTTGTATTTAAAAGCATTACTACTGTGCATGTCTCTCTTCTAACGTGTGTGTGTGTGTGGGGGGTAGATCAGGCACCAAGTCAAGAGCGCCTACCTCAGGCGTGCCACAGAAGGTGGATGTTGTACCATTGTGTTCAATGTTCTCCTTGCAGAGCCCAAAGTCAGTGAGGACAATGTGTCCCTGGGAGTCCAGGAGAATATTCTCTGGTTTTAAGTCTCTGTGGGAAAATGAAAAGTGGTTGCATAGGTTAATTTCACTTCACGACAAATCCTCTGTAAAGACTGCTAAGGGTATTAGGATCTTTAATCCCTTGCTGCCCCATAGCCAATCACAGAAAGGAGTCCTTGCTCTGCTGTTCTGGATTAGGCACCACCCCCTTGGCTGGCTCCCATGCTAGGAAAAGTTTTAGAAGGGACCAAATTGCACATAATCACATATTTTAAAGACTCCAAAGGCTCAGCCAGCCTCCCCCCCCCCCCCCCCCCCCCCCCCACTTCCCAGCAAGGTAGCCTTGTCTCTGACTTACCTATAAACGATGTTCAGGGAGTGCAGATAGCCCAAGGCACTTGCTATTTCAGCGGCATAGAAGCGAGCCCGTGGTTCGAGGAAGCAGCGTTCCCTCTGGAGATGGTAGAACAGCTACAAGAGACAAAACACAGCGAGGCTGAGTGCGTGGGGTCATTTCATCAGACCTGACACAGAAGCCTGAAGAGAAAGAAGTGGCTTGAAAGAATAGCTTAAAAAAATTAATAATTCTGGTAATCTGCCCCCCACCCCCACCCCAAGTATCTTAAAACTCATCTCAAACCAAAAATGAGCAAGCAGAGAGCCGAAAAACCACAAAACTATCAAGAGGTCTACTCCCCCAGCTCACCTCTCCACCATTAATGTAGTCGAGGACAAAGTACAGTTTGTCGGCAGTCTGGAAAGAGAAGTGGAGGCCCACCAGGAAAGGGTGCTTAACATTCTTCAGTAGAACATTCCGCTCTGACATAATATGCTTCTCCTAGGAAAAAGATGGGAGTCAGTGGAAATCTGAATTTCAGCGTGGCACCGAATCACAGGGTAAATACTATCCCCTAGGCAGGGCATTGGGTCACACTCCTACCTCCTTCTTTTTCAGGATTGCTTTCTTCTGTAAAACTTTGACTGCATAGAAAGCTTCTTCTGCCTTGTGTCTTGCTAGAAGAACCTGAAATGTCAATCAAACAAGTCATTTATTTTTCTATCCTCATCCAGGGAGAATGTAAAAATGAATACATGAGAGAGCATATATTTAAATTTCTCATAATTGAAATTACCTTTCCAAAGCTGCCCTTTCCAATCACTTTCAAAAAATGAAAGTCAGATGGTTTAGCGTGAGGGTTGGAGGACGGACCAAGGTTGATTTGTTGAGAAGGACTTGGCTGGAAAACAAAAAACATCACCCTTTAGCATCTGCGTGTATGTAAGCTGCACACTGCCTACACAGCCTACTGCTAACATAAAACAGTTTACGAAATACGCCTTTCAAAACATTCCAATGACTCAATACTTAAACACTTAATGCCACTTGTTGTGAAGACATTCCTGCCTTCAAAATAATTTTTACAAATGTTGTCTTAACTGACCACTACAGAAATACAGATTCATTTACAATATTCCTCCACAGACATGAGAGAACTTACCGGAGGAGAGGGGTTGGCGTTCATAAGCTCGGGCTCCTGAGGTTGGGAGATTTTCAAAATGGACTGAACTTCAGGGCTGCGGGGATTAAAGAGCCGGTTTAGAAACTCTGTAACTCGCCACCAGAGGGCACACCGACATAAGCGCAATTTCTGACTCAACCGTTCAGTATTTAAACCGAAAACATCCGAATGAATTACAAAAACGTAGGTAAAGAAAATAACCCAGTTAAATATACAAATTAAGGTTTGTTCACCGAGAGGACGTGGATTTCATAAACATGCACGAGAATTAATCTTACATCTCCAGGGCAAGCTCGACCCATGAATTAATACTAATGTTTAAAATGTTCCCAATAAGCTCAATAAGCTCAAGACCAAAAGAGATCTCTCTCTACCCCGGAGAAAAGACGTCGGCTTCCCCGATGAACAAAGTGGTAATAGTAAGTAAATCTTAGCTGCTGGAAAATTTAAACGATTCTTTTTATTTTCTTCAATTACCCCCAAACTTACTGTTTGCATGCATAGGAGTTGTTGGCAATCTTCTGAATAAAGTCGTTCAGGCCCATCCTTCTCTGTTTCATGAAAGCTGTGAATTAAAAACAAACAAAAAAGACAAAAAGGTTTACAGGCGGCTCCGTAACGTCCGACGCCACACGCTAATCTGATCCTGAAACCTTCAAAACCCTCACACGTTTCCACGTCGCCTCTCCTACACAAGTCTCCGGTGCTTTTCCAGCACTCACCGATGAGAATCGCTACCATTCCCCTCATTCTGGAGTAGGTGAGGGTGCTTCGGGCAGCCTCGGTTTTCACAGTCATCGCGCCGATGAGTACGGAGACAGCCCGGAACGGTGAAACCCGCTCAGCCAACAGTGCGCTCCAGCCTCGCGGCCGTCTTTATATACCCTGCGCCGCCGCCGCGGGGGCGGGGCCGGCGGAACAAGGAGGAAGCGGCGCCCCGAGCCCCGCCCACCGCGAGGCCCCGCCCCCGACCGCCGCTCGGGCCGGCGACCGAGACCCCGGCGGATGCGGGTGGCTGGCAGCCTGGTCCTGGGTGAGCCGTGCTGGCCGCCCCGGCAGGGCCGAGGGTTCCGCGGGCTGCACGACCGGAGGACCCCCAGGACCCCCGCGCGCAGCGAGGCACTCGGCCTCCGTCCTCCCGGGCAGAAGGAGGGCACTGGAGGGGTGGAGCGCCCCGGTGATTTTCCATTTGCCCGAGTGGAGCCCCGCTGCGCACGGCTCAGCGCCGACCTCTCTTCCCCTCCTGGGTCTCCCGACCCCGGTGCCCGGCGCGCATCCGCCGGGTTCCGTCCGGCGCCATCCTCCCGTCTCCATCCGACTTCCCCCCACGCATCCCCCCTCCGGAGCCGAGTCCCCCGCGGGCCGGGCGGCGGTGCTTACCCAGTCCGCTCAGCAGGACCGACTCGCTCCTTTTCTGCGCCTCCGCCCGCTTTTTGTGGCGGGGCCGGAGCAAGGACTCGAGCCGAGCCGGAGCTAACGCACCCTGCATCTCCCCCATGGCCGCGGACTGAGGGGCGCGCAGCGGGCGACAGCGACCGGCGAACACTGACGTTTCCTTGAAGGAGCCGCCGTGACTCAGGCCGGCAAGATTTCCTGCCCCAGTCCCAAAACAAACAAATGTCCCTTGTGCACGGCCGAGTCGCTTCCGAAAACGCCTTTTTTGTGCTTTTGGCCAAAACCAAGCAAGGCTGAAAAATCCCAGAACTTGGAAGAGGAGGAAGGAAGGAAGGAAAGAGCGGGGGGAGGGGGGTCAGGAATGTGTAGGGGAGGGGGCGGAAATAAGTCTCTGCACTACAAGAAAAAAAAAGTACAATCTTCATTTCACTTTTTTTTTTCAACTAATCTCCGAGAACATTCTGTCCGTTCCGCATATAATTTTTGTGCCTTGCAAATTTTAATCCTAGCCATGCCAAGAACACGTGAGGAGGTGGCAAGTTAGGGGGAGCAGGGGCTTCGCTCCGGGCGCCGGCCTGGAGTGACCTTTGCGACGTCGACTCCCCGGCCTGGGGACCTGTTCCTCTCCTCACAAGAAAACTGCAAAAAATCGCGTTGCATTGCCTTAAACTCCGTTCGTTGTTCCCCGTCTTTCCTACCCTCCTGAGTTACCTCACGGCGGATCCAAGCCGTCTTAATTTTATAACTTTGCTTTTTCTTGCAAGTTCACATATAACTGAAACCCATTAACTCTTGAAGACCTATCTCAGAAAGCTGAGAACCGAGGGAAGCTGCAGGAGGTAGCCTGAGCTGGTGGTACCTTGCAGTAACCCCGCCGCTGGGGGATGCCTGGCGCTGTAGCCTGACCGCCAACGCGGGGACGCGCGCCAGCGCTGGCTAGGAAACCGGGAGCACCCGGTCGGGGCCAGGGGCGGGAAGGCGGCTACAAGTAAGCAGGACTCTCAGGGCCAGTACCTGGCACTGGCTGGTGCTGTCTGCGGTGACTGCCCTGCCATGACCCCTTGCTGAGGAGAAGGGCCTAGCATTTTAGAGCTGACACACTCCAAAATACCAGTTGTCAAGCCAGGAAAAGCAGGCTAAGCTCTTTTCCCTCCGTCTTGGGCAGGAGTTTATTTTACAGCTACAGCCACCTTACATGCCCTAATGTGATCTCTAGTCTCAGCTGCCTCTTGATTAGTGCTCACTTCAGACAGCCAGAGACCCGGAGAAGGGGACGCACATCCTCTCCCTGGAGACAAGAAGATTTTGCTAAGTCGACACTCTTCAAAACGCCCCTAGGATGCCTGAAATTAGCACTCCAATCTAAAACAAGGTGTAGGCGATTCCAAATCACAGCAACTAGCCCATGCTGGTTTGCCCGTGCTGGAATTCTGCACAAGCTGTGAATCTGTTATTGCCAGTGAGTGCCTCCACAAACCACGTGGCACCAATCATTTATTTAGCCTAGTCCTGTAGTACCCTCACCCGCCTGGTTCCTTCCCCTCTAGAAAACAACGTTTGGTCTGAAAACATCAGTCTCTGCAAAGATGATTACTTAATTTGTTTTAAAACATAAAACCAAGGAGTCTCCCATCAGAGACCCTCCCTAGTCCATCACCTAACTCTCAGAGCTTCCCCCGCGCTTCTCCCAGGTATCTTTGTTTTAGCCATCCCATCCAAACGATGGTACTCAAAACACGAACCTTTCCAGGGGGATCTTAAAGCCTCCTCTTTCATTCTTCACAGTGCTGGGGAGGTGAAGGCTGGGATTACTTTACGGAGTTAGCCTCCAGGCTGGGCGCCTCTGTGAGGCTGGAAGTGCCCGATGACAAGGGAGCACCAGAGGCTGCTGTGGCTGCTCTGCTCTGAGCCCTACTTTATAACTAAAGGGAATTTACATACAGGAAGGGAGCGCGCTGCAAAGTTCAACCCTGGGCTATTTATCCTGCTGTTGCAACACCATCCAGAAAATTACAGTCATCAGCGTCCGGGGCTTATTTCACCAGCAAGACACACAAGAAATGTAACTTAACTGATTATCACCACAAATCAGTCCAGGAAAAAAAAAATTCAAAACACATGCACAGGGTTTGTTCTCCCAGGAATGCTCTCTGGCGTGCATTCCAGAAGGAACATGGAATTCAAGTTAAGAGGCCTCCAAGTGCAATAAGGAGAAGACACAACCATGTATTTGTGGTTGGAACAGAAAAGGACCTATTTGGATGCGTCTCTTTGTCTCCCTGCCCGGAATGGTCAGCGATTGGAGACGGACGGTCTGCTAACCTTATCATTTAACAGAGAGGGAATCAAGTTGTTGAGACTGGCTTTTCTTCCAACCGGATACCTGAAGGGTGGAGCAGGCGCCCCCAGTTCTGTCCCAGCAACCTACTAAGACTTCCGAACAGGAAGGTGACAGACGGCGGCGGAGGGAGGGGGGCGGTTGGGGGGCTGTGTGATGCGCCTGTCAACCGCGCGCAGGCTTGAGGCTGCCCTGTGGCAGCTATTCAACCACTTGATCTATTCTTCCTTCCTTGGTCCAGATAGTCCCCCTACCAGGAGGTTATCCGGGCCCCGTCCCAGTTCCTCCCTGGGCGGGTAAGTGGCCAGAGCTGCCTGATTCACTCAGCTGATGAACGCAGCCTAGAGGGCGATAGAGTTCCCTGGAAGAACTCTAGAAGGTCAGATTGCTTCACGTGCCCCAGAGCGTTGCCCTGCAAGTCCTCCTGCAGCCAGAAAGGACAGAGCTTTGATGTGAGGCTGGCTAGTTAACTACTCTACACTCCCCCAAGCCAGGTCTCACCGATATGCCTCAGCGACATATCTCTAATGGAAATGGTTTACCAAGATGTAAACTGAAATTAAAGGCGTGCTGGGTCTACAGAGCGAGATCCGAGACAGGCACCAAAACTACACAGAGAAACCCTGTCTCGAAAAACAAAAAAACAAACCAAAAAAAATTTTTTTAAATGAATGAATGAATAGATAATAAATAAATATAAATAAATAAAATGCTTTAAAGATATAAACTGAAGCAAAACATTTCCCAGTGCATGTGTCTGTTACTACTTTAGAAAATCTCTTGTTTCTGTTGCACTTGAAAAAAATGGACTGTACAAACACTGAAAGCTGACAGTTTAAAATAACTTACCGCTTAATTCAAAGCCTCACAAATGCCAGTTTCTCCCTCTAGTAGAGGAAGTGGTTTGAAATGCACTAAGTACTCAGCTACATCTTCTCTGGCACTCCTTACTCTGTTAGTCTTGACTACCTAGATATTTCATTGATAACAAGGCAATGCCATTTTATATTACTCAAGACGCTATAGATTCCAGAACAAACGTGTGCACAGTTCAGGCTCGCCGGCCTTTTTTTTTTTTTTTTAATTCATTGGCTAATGTATGTAGAAACCTTTCCTTGGGGCATCCTCAAAACACACAGGAACACCCGAAAACACAGTTATCACTGCAGAGAGCCAGTGAATAGATGCATTTTTGTTGGAGGCTGTCACTGAGAGCATGTCTTTTTATTAAAGGAGTAATCCCCCACGGGAAAAGGATGACAAGTGAGTTGATTCATGACAGCTATTATGGACAAGTGGTGGCTAAGCATCTATTTATGGAGCAGTTTCTATCATAATTATTATCATCCATATTTGTCACTGTCAAAAGTGATATGCATAAAGATGAGAGTGATACAGTAGAAAACTAAGAAGTACACATTATCCATAATAATGTACTTAAGAGTTATTAAAACCCACATGACTACATGGTTTATTATGGAGCTCCCCCACCCAAATGGTAACACCAACGCTCTATATACATTCTTTCTAGAAAGAGAAGGTTTTTGTGTTAATTAGGGGGGACAATGCAAGAAGCCAGTGGGCACTCTTAACTCGGAAGAATGAAAATCTAGGAAGCAGCAAGCAGGTAGGTCTGTGACAGGCTGGAAACACAGCCTCTCATTTCGTCTTTGGGAAGTTGCCAGGGACTGATTTAGCACCACACAATGAACAACAAATAAGGAGTTTAAAAAAAAAAATCAAGAACCCTACCAGCCAGAATAAGCATTTATCACTACATATTTGACAACTTTGTGTTTTATTTTTTTCAGCGCTGGCTGTCCTGGAACTAG